GTTACGCTCATGGCATACGTCAGAACAACTCTTGCACACTGGATTCCTACATGCGCCTTCTGGCCTGTTGGCTTTTCGTGGACATCTGCTCTCCGCCTGAGGCGTGCCGTTAGGGTTAGGGTTCCAACAGGCCTCCGCCATGGAGATGGCACTGTTGCTCCTTGAAGTAGATCGTGCCCCTGACCTTGGTATCTTGGGTCTCCCCCTACTTGAAGCATTTGACCCGGGGCGAACGAACGTATTTCCTGGGGTTTAGGCGCGCCCAAGAGCTCCTCATCCTTTTCGTCTTGTGTTATTAACTGACTATGCGAAGCTGGTTGCCCAACCATTTCTTCATCCTCAACAACAGCTGGAATCGAGGGTTGCCAGTCACCTGAGGTGGCGGCAGTGCGGAAGAAACCTTCTTTCAGTGGTGAGACGTTTAGTTCGTAGTCCTCGTTCCTTTGTTTCTTGAGATGAGGTGCGGGGGTTCGTCCTGTGGACCCCCTCCCATGCTTCGCCTGGGCCCCCGCCCTGTCCGCCTGAGGCGTCAGGATACTAGTGTCTTCATCAGATCCATCTGGAGAGCATCTCTCGTCTTGAGCAGGAATGTCTTCTTCCATCGTCATGGACAACGCTCGGCTCAGGGAAATTTCGTTATTGATATTATCAAAATCTGCCTCCGTGGAGATTATTTCATGATCTTTATAAAAGGGGTCTCACTGTCCTGACCAAATTGTCCGCTTAGTGCTGTTGGGACGGGAACGTTCGTACCCGTGCCTGCCCATTCACCTGGGATGCTGGGGTGCGCGTCTACGTTCTCTTGCGCTTCCCCTGGCCGGCTGGTCTCATCAGCGGCTGTAGCGATAGCATGTGTAGCGTTCGGAATTGGGCTGATTGACTCCGTCGATTTGGTACTCCATGACGAAAACGCACTTCGTCTAGTTCTCGCTGTCACGCCATCTCGCCCGTGCGGGTCTGGGGTTCTCTCTCGATTACCAATCGCAACTCCAGCGGGAGAGACCTCTATCGACTAGTTACCCGAGTGGCGATAGAGGAAGGAGGGGCGTTATCTTGAATTGGACCGCTCTTATTTGTGTCGTGTCCATCATGTTGTACAACGCGCCCGTCGGCGCTTCTCGAGACGTTGGACACGACGTCAGTCTTATCATAGCTCATTCCCGCAGCGACTGAGTCGCGGGGCACATTCGAAAGTTCTTCTTTTGGTTGGGATGGCCCCGCGTCGACTAAGTCGCGCGTTTCGGCTGATAACGAGTCTTTCCTCTGAGAATCTATGTAAGATGACAAAGGAATTCAGATCTCATGTTCACTCTGCTCAGGGAGAGAGGGGACGGGATGAGACATCGATAAGACAAGTATCCGTTCAGCAAGATTACTCTATCAGGAATGTGAAGGGAGGAGGCCGGCTGGCCTACGACCGACGACGCGCGACGGCCGAGGGCTGGCGCGCTCCTTTTCTCTCCTGCAAGCCAAGGCTGGCTTGTTTGAGCATCCATACAGCTGCGGATCGCAGCTGTTAGTTCCAGCGAACAGTGCTACGCATGCAAACTAAGTTAAGTTCTAATTGAATATGAGGCGGAGAGGAGCATATTTACTAGATGGCCAGGAGAGGCTCCCAAGACAGCTTCCGACAGTGTCAGACGGGTCAGGAACGCCGTAAGACAGCCAGATAAGTTCCCAAGAAACCCCAGAAGGCCCCCAGAGGCCCCCGAGAAACCCCCAAGAGGCCTCCAAGACGCCCCCAGGAAGCTCCCAGGCATTCTAAGAATGACCCAAGAAGCTCTCAAGAGGTCTCCTCAAGACTCCTCATCCTTCTCCTCATCATCCTGTCTCCTACCTCTCCTCATCATCTTCCTCCCCCACGTGTTCCACGAAGAGCTTCCACAACGGCTGGGGGAACGCATGGTCCAACAGCGTGGCCAAGCTTTGCCCAAACGCTTCGTCCCCAATCGTAATAAGCAGGGGCCGTAGGCGTCTCCGATCCGGCGCCACCTGTGGTTTGCCACAGGGGTGCACAACGTGCTGGATGTCTGGAGGTTTTTGGTTATTTTCAAAAACTTTCAATGGGGTCTCGGCCCAATCCGCCGGCCACCCGATAAGTGTGACCGGGGCAGGGAGGCATGGAACTTTCCGCTCCAGATGGCTCAATGTGGCTCCAAGACGGCCAAGTCGGCACAATATGGCCTCCAAGCCGGTCCCAACATGCCCCCAAGACGGCTAAGATGGCTTCAAAATTCCTCCAGATGGCCCAAGATTGATCCAAGAATGCCCAACATGGCCTCAAGATGACCAAGGGCCCGCCAAGACGTCCAAAGAGAGGCTCAAGAAGCCTCCAAGAGGATCCACAGGAAGGCACGAAGAGACGCAAACAATTGATTCTCTGAAGGTTCTTGTTGAAGGATTTGGGTTTTTTTCTCAGTTTCGGGCCTCATACGGCCAAAGACTGACCACGAGGCTATCAAGATCGCCCCAAGAGCGCCCAAGAGGCCCCGAAGACGGCCTCAAGAGGGACCAAAGACAGCCCAAAAGGCCTCCAAGACGCCCAAGATGGCCTTGATGACGACCCTGAAGCGCCCCAAGAGGCCCCAAGAGGGCCCCAAGACGGCCCAGAGAGGCCAGGAGCACCGTATGACGGCCAAAGAGAGGCCCCAAAGAGGCCACCAAGAAACCTCCAGGAAACGCCCAAGGCACCAAGAATGACCCAGGAAGCTCCCAGGAGGTCTCTTCATCATTCTCCTCCTCCTCCTCCTTTTTGCCTCCCTCTCCTTATCCTACTCTTCCTCCCCCACGTGTTCCCTGAAGGGCTTCCACAACGGCTGGGGGAACGCATGGTCCAACAGCGTGGCCAAACTTTACCCAAACGTTTGGCCACATGGGCGTATCCTGGAAGGCAAGGGGCGGCCGTAATTCTCCGTTGGCGTTTTCGACGCGCAGAATGAGAGAGAGAGAGAGAGAGAAAGAGAGAGAGAGAGAGCGAGAGAAAGAGAGAGAAAGAGAGAGAGAGAGAGAGAGAGAAAAAAAGAGATTCGCTGGCCCAACGGGCCAGAGGCGTGCTAAGATCTCTGGTAACTGGTTGACAATATTTTTCAGTTCGCGCGCGCGGAACGGCCCCTGGGGGCCCCCGGACGAAAAATACCTCGGCAAGGTTCCGGGAGAAGCCACCAGAACACTCCAGGGGAGGGTCATTTTTCGATACCCCTCACGAGGATCGCGGCCTCCGAGGGGGAAGCCGCAATCGACTACCCCCCCTCCCGCCCCAAGAGGCGCTCAAAAGCCCACCAAGAGGCCCTGGGGGCCCCCAAGAGGCCGCCAAGGAGCTCCAAGAGACTCCCAAGAGGTCCCCAAGAGGCCCTAACGAGGGCTCCAGGGCCGGCGGAATGAGCGAAGTGATGAAATAATGAGAGAGAGAGAGAGAGAGAGAGAGAAAAAAAAAGAGAGAGAGAGAGAGAAAGAGAGAGAGAGAGAGATGATAGATGAGACACGGAGCAAGGGATGGAACGGATAATGAACCGCGGATGGAGGGATGGATGACATCTCTGCTGCTCGGACCCTTCTGGAAATGCCAAATGGTAGGCACTGACATGCCACGGGGAGTACAACTGAAGGCTGGGATGGAAGGATGAGCACGTTCGAGGCGGGGCGGACGAACGGTAGGTACACAACTGTCGCAGGGAGCGCACACGGGAGCAGAGAGGAGAAGGAGGAGGAGGAGGAGGTGGAGGAGGAGGAGGAGAAGGAGGAGGAGGGGGGAGGAGGATGAAGAGCAGAGTGGAGTAGGAATAGGAGTAGGAGTAGGAGTAGTAGTAGTGGTAGTAGTAGTGGTAGTAGTAGTAGTAGTAGTAGTAGTAGTAGTAGTAGTAGTAGTTGTAGTAGTAGTAGTAGTAGTCGTAGTAGTAGTAGTAGTAGTAGTAGTAGTAGTAGTAGTAGGAGGAGGAGGAGGAGGAGGCGGACAAGCTAGGTGCGCTCGCGTCATATTTGACATCCTGCCCCTCCCTCCCATCCCTTACCATGGCGTAGATCCCCTCTCTACTTGCACAGTCGGATGTCGAGCAGGGCAATGATCCCGAAAGAGTACGCGATGCATTGTAGAGCACGGCATGGCATGTCGTAGAAGAGCACCGCAAAGCGTAGTATCAACCTAGCATTGCATTGCATGCCGTGGCATGGCACGGGAAATGACGCCAACGCTGCAGCGGGAGCACGAGTCGGAACGAGCGGAAGCGCGGAAATGAGGCCAACGCTGCAGCGGGAGCACGATTCGGAACGAGCGGAAGCACGGAAATGAGGCCAGCGCTGTAGCGGGAGCACGATTCGGAACGAGCGGGGCCCGAAAATGAGGCTGGCGCCTCAGCGAGAACAACATGTTGGAAAAAATGCAAGCGAAAACCCAACTCCGGGGAATCCTGCGTGTACAAAACAATACGCGGGGGGGGGGCTAATACTTTCAAACCGTCATCAGGGGAAGAGGGAGACTAGTATTCAGATTGAGTACTTGTGGAGAAGGAAGAGGAGGAGGCATGTGGCGCAAAGAGGTAGCTCGGCGAGACGGCGAAGACGAGCGTGGCGGATGAGTAGCGACCGACCGCTGCAAACACAGAAGAATGCGGGTGGACAATCGCACGACAGAGAAACTAGTCTTACACACGGCGACGCAGCGATCTGACGCGGGGGCCGACGCAGGCCGCCAGCACGACAGGTCTCGCGGAGAAGGGTGCTCGCGTGCGACCTCACGCGGGCAGCTGACTTGCAACTGACCGCGCGGTCGGATCTGGCTTTAAGCAACCACATCTGGGCCCTACGCCTGCAGATCACAGTTCTGAAAATCCGGCTGCGGTTCAGAACTTCAAGGGCGTCTGAAACCAATAGAACCCCCTGCGGGGCTGTCCGATCCCCACCCCCGCGTCGGTTGGACCCGCAAGGGTAGGGTTCGCAAATGACTGCGGAATCGTTGTACGTGCTCCACAGTGCAAGCAACGGATATCCAAAGGTTTCGGAAGAGCCTTGTCCATTGTGTACTGTGCGAAATTGTAGGCCTGGTGGCACGGGCTGAAGAAGCTGTTCGCCTGCGCCAGGGTGCGATAACGACTGTGGGAACGCAAGAAGAAACACGCGCATGCGTCTGCCAGGGCATGATAACCCGTGCGCGTGCACGCGAACGCCGAGTAGGTGCCAATATAATTACACGCCTGTCAACGCGCGCGAACGATCACAAAGGTTGGCGTCACAGCTCCAGAATCCCATACACACGCTCCAAAAATGTGTCTCCTTGGTCACCCCGCACGTTGCCTCACATCCGCGACCGTATCCCGTGCACTGAGCGGGGTGTCCTCAAACCTCTTAGAATCATTCGGACTATTGCCATCCATACTTTCCCATTTCCTGGGGCCCCTGGAGCCTCCTTACGGATCCCGAAAACCCGCCATGCCTTCAATGGTCAACGATGCACGTTCTGGATCCGGCTCGGCGCTCCAGTTGGCCGTCTTCGGGGCCCACGGGGCTGGCCCAAGAGGCCAGAGTCGTTAAAGCATCTGAGGTTTGGTGCAGTAGGGGCCCGGCCACAAGAAACCTTTCACAGGAAACCCAACCCTGAGTACCCCAGGACGTCCATTGATTTTTTTGGTGGGAACGTCACGCTCTCCACACCAAAATCGTCGAAGCCCAAGAAACCCAGGGCACCCTTGAGGCAAGCAGAGTGTTTCTTGGCATGGTTCTCCACTGTACCTGTCGGGTGGACAGGATGGGCCCGAGAGGGCCGATGGCTGCTCTAGGCGAGCCAAGAGGGCCGCGGGGGCCTCCAAGAGGGCCCCAAGATGCCACCAAGGAGCCGCCAAGAAGCATCCGAGAGATCTCATCCACGACCCACCCCAGGCTCGGTGGCATGCCGATTAAGGTGCGATCCATACCGCTTTCACTTCGTTTCCATGGTGCCCATCATGTGCGTGTGATACCTCCATGTGCCCTGATCGTTCGTGCTCGGTCTTGTCTGTGTCCCGTTGGAACGTGTTCAACACATTACCCTTATTTGCACCGTGCATTTAAGTTCGAACCACAATTCCTGTATGGTGTCCATGTGCTTGAAATGGACGACCTTCGCTTCGCATGTACGTCGTCAAGTGTCAAATTCCGACGAATGGATCGTGCCATAACTTGTGGTATGACGTTGCGTCAATACCGCGTTCAATATACCTGTCAATCGACTCTCTGCTGCACAACAGCACATTCTAAACCATGATTCACAGCCTGGGCAACACATGTGGTGCACCAATACTGCGTGTCTTCCGCCCACATCCGATCTGTCTCATGCGCCGTGTGCTCGTTCGGCTTGTAGCCTGTATCTTTGGAACGCATGTGTCTGACGACCCAGGAGCATCGCTAGGCACCATTGCCGCCTAGCACCTGCGCGCCATCCACTTATCTTTTGTAGTTGCGAAGACTTTGCGTGTATCTGCCTGCGCCCGCGGGGGCTGCGCGCGCGAGTCGCCAGTGCGTCACACATCAACTTGAAACGGCCCTGATGAGCTTCTGGACTCTCGAAACACGGCCTACACTACCACGTCGAGACTCCCCAGGACGACGTCAGGGCAATTTGAGACTACCCCCCGAGACACTCCTGGATCTTCGGGGAGCAGCAACGGGTTCTCGCCGCGGCTGCTGAGGGCGTCGCCTGGGCATCCCCATGGTCCGCAATGCGCTCTGGCACACATCTGAATCGTCAATGATCAGCTGCCGAGGTTCTGTGTCCTCCTTCCCCAAGGTAACAACTCTGACACTTGTACCACCCCATGATCAAGTTCCACTCCGTCCGTAAAAGCGCCTGATGTCGCACGATCGCGGCGCTGCATGTTCGAGATGATGGGCGCAGAGAGGCGAGAAACGATGCATACCCCGTGTCACAAACTGGACAGTCTGCGGGACACCGCTCCAATGTGCAGCGGGACTGGATCGAAGGAAGGGCGACCATCACGCGCTGCGGTCGATTCGCCCAGGCTTCCAACGAGACAGCCCACGTCGACGAGGGAATCCGCCGAGCCTCCACGTCGCGGATGAACGTGTTCTTGGAGTCTAGGACGATGTAGAACTCCTCCTGCCACAGAGGCAGGCGACACGAGCCGGGGCGGGACGGGGGCGGCCCGAGCGCGCGGCAGGGGCGGGAAGACTGTCTGTGCCCCGCCTCCTCCTGCCACGGACGGCGCAGAGAGGCTCGGCGGCGACGGCTGGCAGAGCGCAAGCGGGGGTAGGGGGGAGGGGGGCGGCTTCTTAGAAGGAGGCTGCTTCTTGGAAGGCGCTGGCCATACATCTGCAGACGATGCCGGCGCCTCCTAAGAGGCAAGGGTGCTTCTAAGAAACCTTCCCCCATCCCCGTACGGTCGGCCGGTATCCTAAGGACGCGCGATAAGAATGCAAGGGCCTTGGGCGCCCATTTCGAAGCTTCGGAAGCGGGACGCGGCCAACGAAAGTGGCCAAGGATGGACCGAGGAGGCAAGGATGCAAGGGTACCCTTGGGAAGGTTGCCCATCCTTACTGTGCGGGTCGACTGTGCCCCCCTCTGCGCGTGGCTGAGACGGGAGGAAGGAAGCGGCGTGGTGTGTTTCCGCAGGGGAAGCGTCGAGAAGACGGGTCCAATTCCCGCGATGCACGCCTCCGCCCGCCGTCAGGGGAAGGCAGCGCGGGGGCCCGAGCCTGCGCAGACTCCAGGCCAGCCGCCCGCGGCGACTCGCCACGGCTGGGAGGAGCTCGAGAGCACATGTCAAACAGAGGCCAGGAGAGTCTGGGGCCAGAGCGGAGCGGAGCCGTGTCTGGGGTGGCGCGCAGGAGGGGGGCGGAGCTCGAAGATCCAGGGAGGGCGTTTCGATCTGTGTGTGTGGTCCCTGGTTGATGGCCTCCTGGGGCGCCTTCGTGGCCGCGGCTGGGAAACTGGCCATGATGGACCCCCCGGGGGCCCAGGGGCTGGTGTTGGGCGGATCTGGAGCCGGGGGGGGCGGGGGGGTTGCGCCTGTCTGGGAGGGCAGGGGGCTTCCTGGCGGGGCCGGGGAGGCGTCGCAGAAGGCCAGTCGGGCGGGGCGTCATGGCGTGTCCGACAGGGGCCCTCCCAGGGCCCCTTTTGGAGCCAGCTGGTGCCCAAAAGGGGCCCTCGAGGGCCCTTTTCTTCGCTCCCCATTTGGGTCACCCCCCATTGGGAGCCAGCTGGTGCCCCAAAGGGGCCCTTGAGGGCCCTTTTCTTCGCTCCCCATTTGGGTCACACCCCATTGCCACACGCCCGATTGACTGAAATCGTCCTCCTTCCGGCGTGCTCCGTCGTCGTCGTCGCCGTCGTCGTCGTCGTCGTCGTCGTCGTCGTCGTCGTCGTGGTCGTCGTCGTCGTGGTCGTGGACGTGGTCGTGGTCGTGGTCGCCGTCGTGGTCGTCGTGGTCGTCGTGGTCGTCGTCGTGGTCGTCGCGGTCGCCGTCGTCGTCGTCGTCGTCGACGTCGTCGTGGTGGTCGTGGCCGTCGTCGTGGTTGTCGTCGTCGTCGTCGTCGTCGTCGTCGTCGTCGTGGTCGTCGTCGTCGTGGTCGTCGTCGTCGTCGTCGACGTTGTCGTGGTCATTGTCGTCGTGATCGTTGTCGTGGTCGTCATCTTCGTCGTGGTCGTCGTGGTGGTCGTCGTCGTGGTCGTCGTGGCCGTCGTCGTCGTGGTCGTCGTCGTAGTCGTCGTCGTGGTTCTCGTGGCCGTCGTCGTGGCCGTCGTCATCGTCGTCGTTGTCGTCGTCGTCGTCGTCGTCGTGGCCGTCGTCGTGGTCGTCGTGGTCGTCGTGGTCGTCGTCGTGATCGTGGTCGTCGTCGTCGTCGTCGTGGTCGTCGTGGTCGTCGTCGTCGTGGTCGTCGTGGCCGTCGTGGTCGTCGTGGTCGTCGTGGTCGTCGTGGACGTCGTGGCCGTCGTGGTCGTCGCGGTCGCCGTCGTGGTCGTCGTCGTGGTCGTCGTCGTGGTCGTTGTCTTCGTCGTCGTCGTGGTCCTGGTCGTTGTCGTCGTCGACGTCGTGGTCGTGGTCGTGGTCGTGGTCATCGTCGTCGTCGTGGTCGTTGTCGTGGTCGTCGTCGTGGTCGTCATCGTCGTCGTCGTGGTGGTCGTCGTCGTCTCCGTCGTGGTCGGCGACGTGGTCGTCGTCGTCGTGGTCGTCGTCGTCGTGGCCGTGGCCGTGGTCGTCGTCGTCGTCGTGGTCGTCGTCGTCGTGGCCGTGGCCGTGGTCGTGGTGGTCGTGGTCGTCGTCGTGGTCGTCGTCGTTCGTCGTCCTCGTCGTGGTCGTGGTCGTCGTCGTCGTGGTCGTCGTGGTCGTCGTCGTGGTCGTCGTCGTCGTGGTGGTCGTCGTGGTCGTGGTCGTCGTCTTGGTCGTCGTCGTCGTGGTCGTGGTCGTCGTGGTCGTGGTCGTCGTGGTCGTCGTTGTCGTCGTCGTCGTGGTCGTCGTGGTCGTCGTGGTGGTGATCGTCGTCGTCGCGGTCGTCGTGGTCGTCGTGGTCGTGCTCGTCGTGGTCGCCGTCGTGGTCGTGGTCGTGGTCGTGGTCGTGGTCGTGGTCGTCGTGGTCGTGGTCGTCGTCGTCGTGGTCGTGGTCGTTGTCGTGGTGGTCGTCGTCGTGGTCGTGGTCGTGGTCGTCGTCGTGGTCGTGGTCAACGTCGTGGTCGTCGTCGTGGTCGTCGTGGTCGTCGTCGTCATCGTGGTGGTCGTGGTCGTCGTCGTGGTCGTCGTGGTCGCCGTCATGGTCGTGGTCGTCGTGGTCGTCGCGGTCGTCGCGGTCGTCGTCGTGGTCGTCGGCATCGTCGTCGTCGTGGTCGTCGTCGTCGTGGTCGTCGTGGTCGTCGGCGTCGTCGGGGTCGTCGTCGTGGTCGTCGTCGTCGTGGTCGTGGTCGTCGTCGTGGTCGTCGTCGTCGTCGTCGTGGTCGTCGTCGTCGTGGTCGTGGTCGTCGTCGTGGTCGTCGTCGTCGTCGTCGGTCGTCGTGGTCGTCGTGGTCGTCGTGGTCGTGGTCGTCGTCGTGGTCGTCGTGGTCGTCGTGGTCGTCGTCGTCGTCTCGTCGTGGTCGTCGTGGTCGTCGTCATCATGTTCGTGCTTGTGGTTGTCGTGGTCGTCGTCGTCGTCATCGTGGTCGTCGTGGCCGTGGTGGTCGTCGTCGTCGTTGTCGTGGCCGTCGTCGTGGTCGTCGTCATCGTCGTCGTCGTCGTGGTCGTCGTGGTCGTGGTCGTCGTCGTCGTGTCGTCGTGGTCGTGGTCGTCGTCGTCGTGGTCGTCGTCGTCGCCATCGTCGTGGTCGTCGTCGTGGTCGTGGTCGTCGTGGTCGTCGTGGTCGTCGTCGCCGTCATCGTCGTCGTGGTCGTCGTGGTCGTCGTGGTCGTCGTCGTGGTCGTCGTCGTTGTCGTCCTCGTCGTCGTCGTCTAGGTCGTCGTCGTCGTCGTCGTCGTGATCGTCGTCCTCGTCGTGGTCGTTGTGGTCGTGGTCGTGGTCGTGGTCGTGGTCGTCGTCGTGGTCGTGGTCTTGGTCGATGTCGTCGTGGTCGTGGTCGTGGTCGTGGTCGTCGTCGTCGTGGTCGTCGTCGTCGTAGTCGTCGTGGTCGTCGTGGTCGTCGTCGTCGTTCGTCGTCGTGGTCGTCGTCATCGTCGTCGTCGTGGTCGTCGTCGTCGTCGTGGTCGTGGTCGTCGTGGTCGTGGTCGTCGTCGTCGTCGTCGTCGTCGTCGTGGTCGTCGTCGTCGTGGTCGTCGTGGTCGTCGTGGTCGTCGTCGTCGTCGTCGTGGTGGTCGTCGTCGTCGTCGTTGTGGTCGTGCTCGTCGTCGTCGTCTCGGGTCGGGCGAAAGGGGGGGATAGCAAAGGGGGGGTTTGAGAATCAGCTCACGTAGCTGATTTTCCCGGCGCCTCCCGGCGCCGGAAGCGCCCATGTATCGAGGAATGGGCCGCTCGGTGAGGCCGAAACCAGCTGCGTGCAGCAAATTTCGTACCCCCCCCTTTCCCAATCCCCCCCTTTCGTCCGGCCCGATCGTCGTGGTCGTGGTCGTCGTGGTCGTCGTCGTCGTCGTGGGCTTCCGAAGGCGGCGGGGACGGCTTCCGCAGTGCGATGCCCCAGGGCTTGAGCGAAGAAGCGGTGCCCCCCGTGCTCCCTCTGCTTTGGGGCTCGAGCGGAAAAGCGGTGCTCTTCGTGTTCGTTTGGCTTCCGTATTTTCCTTCGCTGCGGAGCGAGGTCGAAACGGTAACGGCCCGCGACGTCTTGCCCAGACACCGTTCTGGTCGACCCCTGACCAAGCCACGCCTTCTCAGAACGCCACCCCCCGGGAGTCACCGCAGGGGCTCCCAACTTCGCGCTGCGCGCTCCGCGAATAGCTTCGCGCTCTCGCGCCGCCCCCCAAGGGAGAAAAGGAGGATGAAGAGGAATCGGAGCCGAACCGTGAGGCGCGAAGCATTTCGCGCCCTCGAGAGCGCCCTTGCTTCTCAGAGGGCCCTTCCCAGGAGTCACTGACCCCCAGAAACCTCGACCCAATCCCCGGGACCAGTTGTTCATCCTGAGTCGTTTTTCGACGGCCCCGATGCCCGGTGAGGGGCCCCCCAGAGGCTGAAAATAGAGAAAAACCAGTGGTCCTGATTTCTTCCTGACCCGCGGGGGTCTGGGCTGGGGCCCCGAGCGCGCTGCCCACCTGCGGCGTCGGGAGCCGCCGGGGGTGCACGGTTTCCCCCGGGGCCGTAGGCGACCCGAGGAGGAAGAGGCGGAGGAGGAGGAGGAGGGGGAGGAGGAGGAGGAGGAGGACGGGTCGCCCAAGCCCTTCGCAGAGACCCTCCAGCCGGGGGACTTCGGGAGAGAACCTCGGCCTGCGGGGGGGCACGCCTTCGGCCCCCCAGGGAGCCATCCGCGGACACCACAGGCGTCTCTCGGCGACTTCGGCCCCTGGGGCTGCAGGGGCCCTACTCGAGACGGGCTCAGATGGGGAGCCCTGGGATCGTTCTCCGATAGGCCCGTCGAGGGGCCGGCCCAAGACACGCACGCGCGGTGGCCCGACACGCGCCGCGGCCCCTTTTCGACAGCCCCGGCCCAGACGCGCGCCGTGGCCTGGCGCGCGCCCGCCGCCCTTCGGGCGGGCGGCCATGGGGGGCGACCTGCATTGCAGGGGCCCTGTTTCCACTCCCAAGTCTGATTACCTCCCATTACCACCAGGGGGTTCGCCCCCGATTCAGGTCACCCCCCATAAAGGTGCTCGCGGCCCAAGGTGCCCCCCAACTTTTCGCTCCATTTCGGAGCCCCTGCGACTCTCTGGCCTCGTGAGGGGTGCTCTGGAGGCCGTGTGGGCCTCCTTGGAAGTCCGGGGGGGACTTTGGATCACGGTTTCTTCTATGATAATCCAGAAGCGCTCGGTGCCGAGGGCATCTTAGAATTATGCTGGGGCCGTTGTAGACGCCCTGTAGGGTTGTCCAGGAACGCCGCATGCGGCGGAAAGAAGCCCGTCGGCGCGTCAGAGCGCAACGAACCTGTCACGAAATTCGGCCCGCAAAGCACCCGAAAATGGCGCGACATTTGGGTCAGAGGCACTTCTGGCAACACTTGGCCACCCGCCCGAGCCCTGACAGCGCGAAGGCGGCCGGGAGCGCCCGTCGCAGGCTTATGGTCCTCTCGGTCCCTCGCGAATTTTCTGCAGGCCCAGAGATTCTCGCAATGTTTTCGCGGGAGGCCCGGACTCTCGCGAATTGTTTGGGAAGGATTCGGGATCGCTGGATTTTTTGGGGCAGGGAGCTCGTCGGGGGCGGCCAAGAGGGGGGCTTCCGAGAGGGGGGGGGGAGGGGGCAAACCCTGGCCGGCGGTATGGACGTGGGGAGGCCAGGGACGCAATGGAGTAAGAAGAGGAGCCATGGAATCTGGGGAAATATCTAGGGAGGAGAAAAGAGGAGAAAAGAGGAGGAGGAGGAGAGGAGCAGGAGGAGGAGGAGGAGCAGGAGGAGGAGGACGAAGGAGGAGGAGGAGGAGGAGGAGGAGGAAGGAGGAGGAGGGAGGAGGAGGCGGCCCCCCCAAAGGCCCACCCCCCCTTGGCCGCCCCCGAACTCGGCCGTCCGTGTTTTTTGCTTTGCGGGCCTCCCGGGCTCCGGGAGGCACAGGGCCAGTGGCTGCGGCTCGCGGCCTCGGGAGACCCAGCAGGCCCCATCAGAATCATCATCGTCATCATCATCATCATCATCGTCATCATCATCATTATCATCATCACCACCATCATAATCATCATCATCATCGTCATCATCATCATCATGATCACCATCATCACCATCATCATCATTATCATCATCATCACCACCATCATAATCATCATCATCAGCATCATCATCATCATCATCATCGTCATCATCACACTCACCATCAGCATCATCATCATCGTCAGCATCATCATGATCTTGATCATCTTGATCATTGTCATCGCAATCATCATCATCGTCATCATCGTACTCATCGTCATCATCGTCATCATCGTCATCATCGTCGTCATCCTCATTCACGGCATCGTCGTCATCGTCATCATCATCATCGTCATCGTCATCGTCATCGTCATCATCATCATCATCATAATCATCATCGTCGTCATCATCATCGTCATCGTCATCATCATCGTCATCGTCACCATGACGATGATGATGATGATGATGATGATGATGATGATGATGATGATGATGATGATGATCATCGTCATCATCATCACCATCACCACCATCACGGCCAGGACAAGCTTGGGGGCTCCGAAAGATCCGCGCGAGGGCTTCTGAGGAGCCCGGAGAAGGCCTGCCCCCCTCGCACTTCTCCCCTGTGCCCGCCACCGATAGCCCTATCTGGAGTTGTCGACTCTGCCCTGGCCTTTAGAGATGCTGCCAAGGGGGGGGGGGCGCAGGGCCGGTCTCCGTGAGCAGCTGGGCTATCTTCAGCTTGAAGATCTGCTGAGCGAACCAGCCCACCTTGCCTTCCAAGTTCTGGGAGAAGTCATGGAGGTGGAAGCCCCTGGTCTCCTCGAGCCACAGGGCACAGCGGCAAAGAGGCAGGCTAGCAAAACCATGGACGCGTGGAGATGGAGATAGAGCCTAGGCCTCCTGGGGCATTCGGAAAGGACGTCGCGGAGAGGTGAGCCCCCGGACGCCGCAAAGAAACAGGCCAGCCAGAGCTTATTGGCACTAGTCTCTCGACGGAGAACATGAAGTTGCCTGTGCAATCGCGGCCTAGATACACGCGATAAACCTGGTCGAGCTTATGCTAGAGCGCGTTTCTTTACTCGCGGCGATAACGGGAGTAATGGGGGTGCGGGGTGGGGTGGGGGAATAACGTAACGCCCCCCCCATCCCCTCGCAGTGCGGTTCGGGCACCACGACAGCGTCCGCGCGCACGACGACGAACAGCGCGGACGACGACGACGACAACGACGACGAGCGAGCGACGACGACGACGACGAAGACGACGACGACGACGACGGCGAGCGACCACGGAAACGACGACGACGAAGACGACGACGACAACGACCACGACGACGGCGGCGACGACGATGACGACGAGCGACGACGACGACGACGGCGGCGACGACGAGCGACGATGACGACGACGGCGACGACGAGCGACCACGACGACGACGACGACAATGATGACGCCGACGAACACGACGAGGACGACGATGACGACGACCAGCGATGACGACGATGACGACGATGCCGACGATGCCGACGAGCGATGACGACGAGGACGAGCGACCACGACGACGACGACGATGACGACGATGACGACCACGACGACGACCACGACGATCGATGACGGCGACGGCGACGACGACGAGCGACGCCTCCGGTGCTCTCTGGAGGTTTCCAGAAGTCTCTGGAGGCCTCCTGAGGCCTCCGGAACCCTCCAGAAGCCTTCTGGAGGTCATCCGAATGCCTCCAGAAGCCCTCGAAAGCAGCCGCAATCGTTTGACAACGACGAGCGACCGCGAGCGATGACGACAGACGACAACGACGACGCCGACGAAGATGACGACGACGGCCATGACGACGACGACGACCACGACGACGACCGACCGACCACGAAGAGTGACGACGAAGACGAGGCCGACAAGCGACGACGACGACGACGATCGACAACGACGACGACGAGCGAGCGAGCGAGCGAGCGACGACGACGACGACGACCGACAACGATGACGACGACGACAACAACGACGACGACGACGACCGATAACGAAGAGGAGTTGTGGCGAGAACATGCCTGTGAAGGCGTCGTTGCGTCCAC